GAGGCCCTAGGCAGAACCGGACAGATGAATTCTGTTAGCGGTTGGGTGAATGTTCATCAATGAGTGTCAACGTCTCTGACCTAAAACCAGCAAGACAACGAACTGTTGACTCAATGGTTGAGGCGTTTGACTCTGATCAAAGAGGTCGCGAGTTCGAGGCTCGGGTTGGTGACCACTTGGGGCTGGGTATTATTGGCTGACGATGACTAAGAAAGCAGAAATGACCATTCCAGTCTCCCTTGCCTTTGCCGGCAATAATGCCTGTAATAATGATTTTAAAAAGTTTACCGATACCATCCTTCATTAATTATGGCCATAGTACATATTCGTAAATGTTGAGAGTGTAAATGAGTCCGCCGATGGAGGCGAGCAGATGAATTCCAGGAAGCAGTTCACCAGAAAAAGATACGATTGTTGGGACAAGAAGTTAATTAGTCTGCTCTTTCACAGTTTCACTTGAAAACATCGTCAGGATCAGTCACAGAAAAGGGTTATAGGGACATCAAGTGTGCAGTATTTATAGGACGTAGTTGCTAGGCGACCACACGCCTAGTTCTCGCGTTCATCGCTGGGGCATCATTGTTAAGGCGATGGTTGACGCAACCATCATTCGGCCATTTGTTTCGCTGTTGCCATTACAGTTGGTCACCCACTCCTCGCGTGCCTAATATTTTTGCCCGGGGAAATCGCAACGTCGAATATGAGGGCGGAAGGTCATTGTGCTTGTTCATTGAATGTGGACTGGAGAGCCATGATGATTCAAGCAACTAACGGCCCATGCGGTTGTCACGTCTTGGGAGAATTTCGTCATTGGCAAACTTGAAGATGTGACCGGATCCCGTTGAATGAGCCGCGATCTGAGACTTGGCGTTATTCCGCGTGCTGAGCCATTTGAGTTTGGAGTAGCCTCCGAGTTTCTCCGACTTATATGCCTTGTCCGGCATCGACTGATAATGCATAAGAAGGTCCAGCAGAGGACGGTATTCAAAAGACGCATTTACCTGTTTTACGCAAAGCAAAAGTACTAAGTAATGATCGGGAGAGTGCAGACATTTATAAATCTCCAGACTAGGGGATGAGACATGCGTGAGCGAAACGTAACCGCAAATGTAATCAACAAGTTTACGAATTTTAGTAAAAGGATTTTCAATGGAAAAGAAGAATTAGAGAGTAGCTTCAGGATACCGGACAGCTGATACTTTACTCGCAAGGATGTAGCGGATTCAAGAATATGAGAGGTGTTATGGAAAACGTTAACAGTGTACAGTCACTGCCGAAGGCGAAAAGAAGATGTGCAGCAGGCGAAACTGATTACGGAATGCTCGCGTCCAGTCGAACAGCCAATCAGCGTGGGCTTCAGCGTCGAGCAAGCGTGATCCCTGTGTTCAGACATGTGGCTCAATCAATGACTGATCGAACATTTCGGATTTCCCACGAGGGGATTCTCGCAGTCTGGACTGCTGTCTGATTCTTAACCAGAAGACCATTTTCCAGCGACCATAGACGTTAGCTCAGTCATCCTTCAGGAACCGGAGATGAGTTTCATTTTTGATAGGGTGACCCACAGACATATATTCAACATGCATGATATGCAGGCAGTCGTTGGGACCGCTCGGCTCATCAGTGTACATTGAAGAGAAGTGAGAGGAAAAAGCGAAACCTTGGAGCGTTCCACAGTTAGTAGGGAAAAAAAGTCGCTTTATCTTTCCATAACTGGAATCACAAAGTACGGAAAGACAAGTTGTCTTTAAGCCAAGAGACAGTCCAGTCAGGAGGATCGCGTTCTGAGATGTCTTTTTTAAGAGGAGGTGCGCGAAACGGTTTTGAAGGCGGCGGAGTAGTCAAGAGGTGCATATAGGTAAGCACAAAAATCTTTTACAAGCGCCCCCTAAGGCAGAGTGAATAACTACAGCAACAGTATCTAAGGTAGTGAATCTGAAAATTTGTGAGAAGAGCGTACAACTAAACAGAAAGATCAATTCTATTGATTGTTCGTAAGGATGAGAGCGATCCCTACAGTTCGCCAAGCAAAAGGGTGAGATGATGAGACGCCATCCGGCCTGGCAGCCGATTATCCACAGACTTTTTGAGTACGCTTCTACGCTGTAGCGCTGTGGTTTAAACTGCCATTAGGCTTTTCTGAACCCATTATTGTTAGGTTGGTAGAATAGACTGCCTG